ACTTGGACTCCTACCTTACAGGTCTACAGTTCGAATCTCCCTACAGCCTACAACCTACGGCGACCTACTTACCACTGGCTATCGTGCAGGTCACGGGTTCAACTCCAGGGAACTGTGCAGATACTGTACACAGGTAAGCTGAGGTCAAAGGATCGACCCCTGGGATCTGCATCGGCTACTGCCAAAGGTGAAAACTGTTTCACACCCACCGTCCTAAATTCGAGGTCCTCCGAGAATATTTCAATCCAAGACTGGACCATTACCTTTCTTATCTCGTTCGTAAGCCCTCACTATGTCAGGGGCTGTCTCCAACAGTTCTGTTCTTGTGAACCAGCGGTCGTCTTCCGGCTCCTGGTAGGCAAACCGAACCTTATACTGTTTCTGGGGACGACCTCTACCTCCTGTTCTAAACACATCTTCGTCTACAATACCRTCAATGTYGTATCTTCCATCCATATCCGGAGGGATCRTRGATCTTCTCGAGGGGAACTGTTCACTTGTGACACACGGTAGCAACTTGGAAGCATGGAAGATTGGGTACGTGTGGAGGTGTGCTGGGATCTCTATAGTATAGGACGGTCCATTCTCTCCGCCTTTGACTTCTAATACCGGCCACGGCTTCTAATACCGGCCACGGTCCTCTATAGGCAGGCAATAACTTCTGTGAGATGTGCTCCTCAGGTGCAAACTCTTTAGATTTTACCCAGACTAAGTCGCCTACTTGAAACTGTGAGGGGCGACGGTGCTTATTAGCCTGTTCTATCATTCTATGTTGGGTCTTTCTGAGGTTCTCAACAACAGTTGCTAACTCTTTCTCATGCTGCAAAGCAAACTCCCTGGTTCCGGGCGGTAGTCTGTGAATCTGATCCCGGTTCAGTCCTTCGAACGGTCTGCATGGTCTAAAGGACTTGTGCAACTCATGGGGAGTGCGGCAGGTCGATAGATGCACGCTGTTGTTGTATGCACTAGCTAGTTTAGGCAACATCTCATCCCAGTTAATCTGATCTGGTCTAATGTACATGCGCAGAACTTGCTGTAGGATCTTGTTCATCTGTTCTGTCTGACCGTTAGTCTCTGGGTGACGGCCAGATGACATTAACAACTTAGATCCGTAAACTCTCATGAATTCTTGCCAGTTCTGGCTGGTGAAGCGACTATCTCTATCACTTACAATTGACAATGGGATTCCATTCTCACTAACCCAAAAGTCAAAAAACTTCTGTATTACTAAATCTGTACGTGCCTCTGCAGGCAAGGGAACAAAAATTGCATACTTACTAAAACGGTCGACTATGACCATGACTTGGCTCTTACCATGTCTACTCTTGACTTGCGTGTCCATGAAGTCTATAGACACTGAGTCTCCCGGCTGATCCGGAATAGGCAAGGGCCTGAGAAGACCTAAGGGTGCGCGTGTAGTAGACTTATTTCTCTGGCGCACTTTACAACTGCGGACATACTCTACGCAGTCATTCTTCATCCCTGGCCATGTGTACGCGCGCATCAGATTGGCTAACGTCTTTTGCCAACCGAAGTGTCCCTCAGTATCGTGACATTCCCCTAGAATTAGACTACGAATCTCTTCGCTGTTGGGAATGCACAGGCGGTCAAACACATTAGTYTTCTCAAACAGCAATCCGTCWGTAGTGYGGTAATCTGGTTYGGTCTCTGGGGTCTCTCTAACTCTCTTTAGGAGGTCGTTATAGATAGGGTCCTGCGTATACGCTTGTTTCACTTTCTCCTGCAGGTCTCTCCCTATATCCAGATAATGTACTACGGCTCCATAGTAGTCTGATCTCCTACTTAGAGCATCCGTCACTACATTGTACTTGCCCTTTACTGGCTTGAGCTCAAAGTCGAATTGGTCTATCTCTGCGGCCCACCTAGTCAACTTAGGTGTCATCTTGGCCTGGGTCTTTAGCCATCTAAGCGTTTCATGGTCCGAATAGACCAAGCAGGTAATGCTTCCAATGGTTTAAAACCTGCCTGAGAGCGTAGAGTTCTTTCTCGTACGTGGAGGTAGCAACCATCTCACAGGGCATCCTCGCTGACATGAACTCTACGGGTCTATAGCCATTGCCGTCGTCTTGCTGCAACACGGCGCCTATCCCATACTGACTCGCGTCCGTGGTGATAAAGGGCAAAGACGGATCTGCAACTTTGAGGAYAGGATATTCTATTAACGCGCGCTTTAGCTTCTTGAGCGTAGACGTACAGTCTTTGTTCCATTGCCAGATTGCCTCTTTCTTTAGCAACCTGCGCAAGGGAGCGGCGAYAGTAGAGAAGTTCCTTACGAACTTCCTATAGTAGTTAGCTAAGCCTAGGAACGACCGCAACTCTGTCAATGTGCGGGGCGTCGGCCAATCTCTGATCGCCGCGATCTTGCTGTTCTCTGGCTTAATGCCATCTCTCCAACACGTGGCCTAAGTATAAGACTTGCGTCTTGGCCCACTCGCACTTCTTCGCGTTGATCGTGAAGTTAGCCTCTCTAAGCTTCTCCAAGACCTGCCTCAGATGACCCTGGTGCTCCTGGAGGGTCTTACTAAAGACTAGGATATCATCTAAGTAGACTACTACAAATTTATCTAACCATGGTCTAAACAAGTCATTCATACAACGCTGAAAAGTAGCTGGCGCGTTGGTTAGTCCAAAGGGCATCACTATGAACTCATAATGCCCGTATCTCGTCCGGAACGCAGTCTTGTACTGGTSATCAGGATGGACCTCTATCTAATGATACCCAAATTTTAAGTCTATCTTAGAGAAATACTTACAACCCTGCACCCGATCTAAAAGTGTTTATCCTGGGCAGCGGCTCAACATTCTTTACGGTGATCGCATTTAATCCCCTATAGTCTATACACGTTCTCAGCTCTCCTTCCTTCTTGGGGACAAACAAAACAGATGCTCCAAAAGGAGACGAACTGGGCCTGATCCAACCTTTCTCAAGGAGCTCGTCTAAATGTTTGCGAAGCTCCAACACTCTAGGGGACATTCTATAGATTGCACCCTTAGGAGTTCTACTGCCAGGTTCTATCTCTATCCTGTGCTGGATGGGTCGCGACACTACTCCTCTCGGCGACTCAGTCAAGTCTTTGAATTC